TACCCAGCCAATGACGTCACAAAGTTCATTGACCTTCGAGATAATTTTTCAAAAATATTTTCCAAGATGGCGGCGAAACTGGCCGAAACACAAAGTTTGCATGCATTTTACTCGTAGACTAAAATGTTCAAGAAGGAAGTGATAATATTTTCATAGTTCGGTTGTCAAGTAGGATTGAAATAGCCAATAAAAATTTTCGTTGCCAATGTCATTTAAGATCGTTATCTGGTCACCAAAGCGCAAGGAATCACAATCGGGAGGTCGAACTCGAACCTGATGGAACATAGCTTCAATATCTGCCATCATCGCCTCCGGTCCTTCACGAAATTGCGTTAAAACACCGACTAGACTGTTTCTTAAATCCGGCCCCTGCAACAATTCCTTGTTTAATGACGTACCTCTATATTCAGCCGCGCAGCCGAACACAACCCGTACTTTGTCCAGTTTCTGTGGAGGAAAAACAGGGTGGTGGGGGAGATACCATGTCGCGTCGTTTGGCTTCTCGCGTTCCTGGTTTGGTACTTTTCTTGCGTAGCCCTTTTCAAGAAGGTCATTCATAAACGTTGAATACTTCTCTTAAAGCTCGTCATCGATCTTTCTCCACACGTTTCTTTAGCAACTTCAATCGGTGCTCAGCGAGAGGTCTGTTTGTCGGCAAGGATAGTGGTGGATTTTTCCATGGTAAGGCTAGTTTGTAGTGATCTCCTTTTAGTTGAATAATTTTTTCCACAACAGATAACGCTCGCTTGTCATCGCATGACATCGCAATTTCATCGTCCACATCGTCGAACTGTCGGTCGCAGAAGCGTCTAAAAAGGTCATCTAGTTCTCCATCCGCATGAATAAAGTTAACTGTTGATTCTTGTGAATCGACTCGCCCTATTGGGCCGTTTGCAGTCCAACCTAAACCAGTCTTTACGGCGTACGGACTCTCGTTAACGCTTTTTTGTATTTTTATAGGTTGCAGAGTTTTAGGAACGTCTTTACCAATAAGCAAACCGACTTGGGCATCAATTTTTGTCATCGTGATACCTTGGAGATGAGGCCAACGATTTACGTCGGTTTGACGTGGAATATCTTCTTTTGACACTGGCAGCTTCATAACGGAATACACTGAAGGGAGATTTACTGTATAATGGACCATCCAGATCACTTCTTTCGAGACTGGCAATCGGACTTCTTAGGTTACTTCTTTCTTTTTCCATGATTGTCAAGGAAAGTATAGTTTGATAACCTTTAGCACCGAGCTTCTTCAACAAATATTCCGCGACGAACGACGTGCTGGAGCCTCCATCAAGGAACGCATACGTTTCTACTGTTCGATTTGAATCTTTCGCTTCAACTCTAACTGGAACGACCGGCATGCCTGTCACAATTCGAGTAGGACGCCGCTCTTCAGTTTTACTTACAACTTGTAAGTAAAACTGAAAATCTTTGTAAACTCGCACCGTCCTCAGACTTAATTTGCGTGCAACTATCTATGCGCTCAACGTACGCGTTAGCGATCTGGTAACTTAAACCTGCGCGCCGGCTTCTTGATATCCTTCTTGAGGATTCATGGATAGACAACTACGCATTAACTCTTGAACGTCGCCTGAGGTGTATTGTATGAGATCGTATATATAATCGTGCACTGTCATTACCGGTTTTCTGTTCGATTAGTTGCTCAAAGGCTCAAAAACTGTGGAAATCATATAGGGTTTCCAGAAAAGGTGGGCATGCACTGTTGGTGTTGGTGTTGGTAGTGTTAATGCTAATACAGGGTGTATGAAAAAAAACTGAACAGATTTAAAATTGCTCTCAATTTCGCAAAACAGCTATTTGTAGCTGGTTTCTTATATGTATAGCTTCTCCGGGTACTTATAATGTAAAATAATGAAAAAAATTCTCGAACTCAAATTTTGTGAACCAGGGGGGTATGTCTTTTCCAACAAACTAAAAATGGCTCGCGCACAACATTTAAAAGCTGTAATCATATTTTGAGTTAATAGATTGAAAATTTGTCGGGTTTTTAATTACTGTACAAAATGTCAGACAATTTGGTTCAGTTTAAGCCCTTTAACTATTCATTTTGTTCTAAAAAGTCAGCCTTTTGCATGCTTAATTAATGCCTTTACCTAATTTGCATATTGCTGACATATGCAAATTAGGCAAATGCATTAATTAAGCATGCAAATAGCTGTAGTAACTTTGCGTGAATAGTTAAGGGGCTTAAACTAAACCAAATTGTCTGAAATTTTGTACAGCAATTAAAATCCCGACAAATTTCCCATCTGTTAACTGTTAAATATGATTGCAGCTTTTAAATTTTGTGCGCGAGCCATTTTTAGTTTGTTGGAAAAGACACATCCTCCTGGTTCACAAAATTTGAGTTTGAGAAATTTTTTTCATTATTTTGCATTATAAGTACCCAAAGAAGCTATATATATAAAAAACCAGATACAAATAGCTGTTTTGCGAAATTGAGAGCAATTTTAAATCTGTTCAGTTTTTTTTGTACACCCTGTAGAGTAGCTAGGATACTACCATCTGCATGACCCACGTAGGCAGAGATTGTTACACTTTCTCAAACGTTTTGAAACTTAGGAAATATTACCAAACCACTGATTAAAGAAACATATTTAAATTTTAGATTGATTGGATAAAAGCTGGTGGTTATGTAAATCTGGTCAATATTGCAGCCAAGCCCCATGTATACTATATATAGAGTACTAGCTAGCATATGCATGACCCGAGTAGGCAGAGATTGTTACATTTTCTCAAACGTTTTGAAACTTGGGAAATATTACTTAACCACTGAGTAAATAAACATAGTTAAATTTTAGACTGATTCGATAAAAGCTGAAGGTCATGTAAATCTGGTCAATATTGCAGTGAAGCCCTATATATACGATATATATAGCCATTGGCATCTGAATGACTCGAGTAGGCAGAGAATGTTGCATTTTCTCAATCTTTCTGAAATTTAGTAAATGTTGTAGAATATAACCGAAGTTAAAGAAGCATAGTTATTTCCGCCAATTTAACTGATATACTTTTTGTGTAGCGGCAGCAAGGAAAGGGGGGACTGATCAGACTACCTTTCCAGCGAAGGGGGGCCTAATTAGTCTCCCATTGATTGTGGTTAGATAGAGATTGTTACATTTTGTCAATCTCTCTAAAATTAAGGAAATATTATGTAAATAGTGAGAGAAAAAAGTGTATTTGAATTTTAGGTTGCTTGGGTGAAAGCTGATGGTTATGTAAATCTGGTCAAATTTGCTATCAAGCCCTGCATATACGATATCCCAACGGGCAAAATGACGTTTATCCAACGTTGAATCATCGTTGGAAATGACCTTCCAGACGTTGGATAGACGTTGAAAAAGGGTTGACTATACAAATTGGATCGACGTTACTGTTTCGACGTTGAAACAACGTTGAAATTAGGTTGCCAATCTCGTCAACCATAATTCAACGT